AAACTCAATTCCTTAGGATGATCAAGTTCTTTCGACTAGCTACTCCAAACTTGTTGGGGATCTGATGGAATAACATTGTCCCAAGGCAACTTTAGTTTCCATAGATCACCCATTAATATCCTACCCCTAATTGTCAGAGGAAGACATAGGGTCAAAAACACTAGATAATTGAGACAATACCCTTTTTTTTTGTATTGTCATCAGAATCAATATAGCTGCCAGCTGAGAGCAAGGTATTCCTGACTGGATCATATCTATATCCCAGGACCTTCTCCAACTGACAGCCATGCTCAGTATAGTTGCATTCTGCAATCATGCGGCTTTTCAGATAATCGCAATTAGGATCTAAAGCCAAAGTCGCCTTCTTCCATTCCATCCACAGACTCCTCATAGAGATACATCAATTTTTGAAGAGAATTACAAGTTTAAGTTTAAGAGAGATTTGTATCTAAAACAGATTAATCTGCCACATTCCCTCATAAAAAAAAAACAGAATCTATTTTTGTCCTCTCCCAAGCTAAGTTTAATCATCAGGAAAGCCTACCTAATGTCAGCGAGTAACACATATTTTTGGAGCGAAACAATGATAATTTTATAGCATGTCTCCCATTAGATTTATTCCAGAGTAGACTGCTTCATTTAAGGAGTAGCCTGTTTTAGTTTTAAGTAAGCAACTAAAAACAGGACTTTTCTTCGTGGTGGTTTGATCTTCGATTTTATAAAAAGGTTTTTGAGGAATCCATACATAATCCTTGAAATTATCAGGGATAGTGTGAAAATGTTTCATGAGTAATCAGTGTTGTTCATGAAACACCTTGGCATATTTGTCAAACAGATTGTGCCTTTCTAAGCTTTTGATAACACTATCCAGTACACAAAGAGCTACTGCATGATTCAAAGGTACAGAACTCATTCTTTTCTCTATCCAAGGTAACTTTACATAATAAGAATTTCTTTTAAATTCTATAGATCCCACAAAGTCCTTCATCTTCTCCGTCATAATCACTCACATTATCTTCACTGGGCAAAAACCAACGCTTCTATACGAAACATTTTATCTAAGTTACGTTCCACACAACTTTCCTCAAACATAAAAAAAAAAAAAAAAAAAAAAAATATGGATCAACGTGTCCCTTTTTAGGTTTTGAAAACAAAGTTAATATCAGATATGAAGCACGAACAGTATTTGGAAACAACAGCATAGAAATTGCTATCTGCATATTTCTGCCCTTTTCTGGGAAGGATAGTTTGGATTGGATATAAGAAATTATTAACATTTCTAAAGGGAATGATCCCATTGGGGAGTTTCCATGCTGAACCACCCATGCATATCAGACCCCCACCACTTGACAAACCATGTACCAGAATGGTATCAGTATTATTAGCAAAATTTCCAGCTAACTTAAAGTTTGGATTTTTCAGGTTTTTCGTAATTAGATGGAAACAATCAACATCAAATCTAATATTAAATTCGTTATCAATTCCAACTGGTAGTGAACAAGTACTACTTTAGAAATCATATATCAAATTTCACCTTCGTTAACGTTTTGAGCCGAGAATCCCAAAAAGTCCTTTCATAACCAGCAGGGGAAATGTAGTCCTTACCCATTAGCTGTCTTAGAACAAATTCTGAGAAATAAGACCTCTGGCTTCCTACAGGTGAATTTATGTACTCTGTTACCACTGCCAACAGACAGGCAAACTACTGGCAGAAGGAAATTAGGCTGTTGAGGGTTTACATTTAAACTTAAGGGGGCATAACACACCTACATGGCTCCTCGAGTTACAGAACTTACATTCAATGTTTAATTTATTGTTCCTTCCATTACATTCATCCTTGTAATGTCTCCTACTCATGCATAGTGAGCATAATTTTAATTCCTCACACTTATTCAACCTAGACTCTAGGGTAGGATATTTGGAGCATCTAGTGCTTGAATGTTTTTCGTCATTACAGAATTTACATTTCGAATTGATGTTTTCCAATGTACGGTTTTTTTTGCTCTGTCTAGAATTACGGACCTTGGGAATCTTAGTTTTTCCAGAGTTATTTACACTATTGCTATTATAAGACTCACTCTCTGTATTATTATTATACACAAGGGACTCGATAACTTTACTATAGTTCGCAAAAATTTGAGATAAAGAGGGATAATTCGTTTTAACGCAATGAATTAGTTCCTTTTTAAAAGATTCAGGGAGTTTTGAAAATACAACGAAACTCAAGTATTTATTTCCAGGAGAATTCTCTTGAAGGAAATCCAAATCGAAGAAACTTTTCAACTCAAACAGATCATCTTGTATTTTAGTAAGAAAGTGCTCCACCCCGCAAAAACTGTTTTTCTTGTCAGGCTTTGGCCTCATTGATTTGCTTGAATATTTCAGCGACAATAAATTCACTGTCTAAAAATTCCTCTTTTAATATCTGTATGGCGGTATCATAATTATCATCGTTGATAGTTAAGTGCTGCGTTATCTGCAAGGCGTATCCGGTTAAATATTCTCGTAGATACCGTAACTTCCTAGCCTTCGACTTAACACTGGCCATACAATCTTCAAATTTCCAAATAAAATGTTTGAAAGCAAACTTATTCTTATCACAGTTCTTGCCGCTGAAAATCCAGCAGTTCAACTTGGCGAGAAATGGGAAAGACTGTGGGTCATTACTATTCGCACACTCCTCTTCCATAACCCTGATACAATAATCCGTCGGAAAATTCGGCTCTAATTTATCTAGTTCCTGATTAACCTCAATTTCTAAATTCGATTTGACGTCAAATTCCTTATAGCACTCCTCCTCATCAACATCATTATTAATGTATATACATACTATATCCTCGGTGATTAGATCAACCATATCTAACAAATCTAAAATATCATCCTTCATAAAAAAAAAATCATGCCAACTTCCTTTTCCTTGCTTTTTCAAGGCCTCAAGTTTAGTAACTGTATCGCGCATGTATGTATTACGCCTTTCAACTAATTTAGCAGTTAAATCTGAAATGGACATTTTGAAAGATGTATATGCCGTTTGATATTATTATTATTATTAACTACAAAAATTTCCCAAACTCTACAAAAAATATCCAGAAGGAAAAGAGAACCACCAAAACAAATGTACTAAAAAGTATATCACTTTTTTTAAAAAAAAAAAAAAAACAAATTCCTCCGCTGAACGTACACACCGAGCACTAGTCTTCCGAAAGAAAACAAATATTTTGATCTTTAGGAGCACAAAAATATTTTGAGCAAAATGTGGGAAATTTGTGACAAAATCGATAAAAGCAATGAAAATATTAGAGCGGATAATTCTCTCTATTAAACGGGAGAAAAATAAAAGATTCAAACTCCTGCTCGGGGTGTAACAGAAGAAAATGTTTATTACATACACGTACACACACACAAAAAAGGTAAAACTAAAAGGATATATTATGAAAGAAAGGGGGAAGAAAATTCCTTTAACTTAAAGGAAGAAAAAAATGTTCATAAAGAAAGGCTTGTTCAAAAAATATTTCTCTCAACGTCTCTTAAAAAGTTCTTTTAAAATTGTTTTTAAGGGGGGGTTAAACACTCACATAGATTTCTTCAGAGGTCTTGTTTAAGAGGAAAATGTCGGAAGATCCGAATTTTTGTAGTTTAGTGAGTTTGAAGATCGACAAGAATTTCTTAGTGCAAGGAAGACGCAAGAAAAAAAAATCAGATATATAGAGATATCCACTTGTAAACAGTCACACGAATTTCGAAATGATCGTCTTGAAATTGGCGGTTGTGTTACTCTGTCACGTGATCCTCCAGAAAGGCCAGTGATTCGTTTATGTTTTAGCCAATTAACACGCAGCTGCCGTCCACGTGATACTTTCCAATTCAATTTTTTTTTTTGGTTTTTGTTTTGTTTTTGTTTTGTTAAGTGTGGAGGGAAGATTATGTTCTTTTTTTATTGATTTTATTTTTGTTTTATATGCCTAACAAAAAAATCTTTTTTATCGTAGTTTCACAAGTTTGGCAAAACGGAATTATTTATGCTTTCAGTAGTTTTAGAAATTCATCATTGCAATAAAAACCTTAGCAATAGACAGATGCAATTGTATTTTTATTTTTCGAGTATTATGATGATGTTGTTGATGTTTCCCCTTTTTTTAAGTCGTCATGGATCACGATAAAAAATGTTATCGTGATATTGCCAATTCCGTGGAATCCACGTCATTAATTATGGTTGAAATGTGGCAATCAAACGAGTGCTTTCTCTAGTATATTACATTTAAAAATGATTTAATTTTTGGTGGTAAGCATCGTATTAAAAAAATACGCTGATGGTCGAACTTCCTATATTGTTTGTAGCGATTTGTATTCCGTATTCATCATATAATAAATAAAATCACAATAGTGGAAAATTTTTAATTAGAACGTAAAGTTAAAAAATAAAGTGTCTGAAAAGCGGTTATATGTTTTCCTTAAATTTTTATTTACGGTGTGTTTGTAGTCTGTAAGAATCGCTAATTCTTTTTTTCATAGTTTACTTTCTTTTTTCGACAGTGACTTTATGGAATTCCATTCAAGCTATTAACAATCGATACTAAATTTAGCTTTTGGAGTCTCATTGATAGGAGTACACAATTAACCAATTACGACAAGTAGTGGCAAGAATGTTCTCGAACTAAAATAAAACAACAAGTGTTTTTGTTAGTTTCTCTTTGACGACATAAGAAATGAACTTAAATTATAAGGAACTTTATTGAACTTACACCGTATAAAGTTATAAAAACTTGCTATTAGGTAACTTTTTTAAAAAGCTTTCTTTTTTGTTTATGTTTTATGACCGGTTTAGAATTTCTGTGTTTGTTTTTAATTCACAGTAATAATATTTATTTCAATTAGAAATAAGATTTATGCAGGGTATGTTTAAACAAGTGATTTTATAACAAGTTAACAACAACTGTTTTCCAGAAAAAAAAAAAAAAGAAAAGTTGCCTTCGGCTGGATTATGTGTTTACTTTTCAATTATGCCAAACAACCAATTTGAAAGACTCAGTTCTCGCATTTCATGTGAATACGGCCGAATAAAGTCAGATGATTTTGTAAGTAGCAAAGAAAAGTTACTTCACGTTTTAATTCTTTTTTTTTTTCTTTTTGCGTTGTTTAATTTGTTGCCTTTTGTTTATTAATTGAAACTTTGGTATTTGAGGATAGGAACGTCTTACACCAAATTAATTAGTCCCCCCCCCACCGCCACAATACATGTAAAAAAAAAAATTAAGCAAATAAAATTTAATATAAAACTGAAACGCTCAAAAAAAAATAATAAATAAATAAAAAAAAACTAAAAAAATTCTCCACAACATCCATGCAACAAGTTGACAATTTTTGCTAATTAATTGGGTTGATGAATGTTCATTTATTTTATAAACTTTTTTTTTTTTCTTACGAGAAAACTGTTCAAGCCAAGATGACTTTTAGTTTTAGTTTTTTTTTTTTTTAACTCACTGTTTATTTCGGAGTTCTTTTTTTTTTATAACGGGATAATTTTTACTTAAATATTTTTAAGTTTTATTGATTTTTTTAAAAAAGTTATTTAGTTTTTCTTAGTTTTATTATTTGATCAATTTTATTTTTAAAGTTCTGATTTTGTAAACATAGGCTAAGCTTAATAAATTAATGAACGTTTTACTTTTGCCTCACGTAGAGAATAATTTTGTTTGTAGATTAACATTTTTTTTTTTTTACCTTTCCTCAGTCGCGACACTTGTCAGAAACGGAAATATATATTTTTATTATTTATTTATAATTTATTTATTTAAAAGGTCGCAGTGGTCCTATTTTGGTGTCAAATCAATCCCTGTCTTTTATTGAATTGAATGAACTGTAGTCTTTTGTGTACGAAGATAGTTCTTTTTAAAGAACACTGATCTAGGTACTGCCAAATGAGTGTTTTCTTTTCCGGTAAAAAATCGTAACTCTGTTTTTAAGAAAAAAAAATTGAAAAGTCGAGGATTTTAAAAAAAAAAAACAAAAAAAATTTTAAGGTCTTGCTTTTTATTCATAAATGAATTGTATGCTACTAGGTAATTTTATTTAGCAAACTGGAAATATTTTGACGTTGACGTGTAGTAAGTTTCACCCCAACCCCACGCTTTCGATCTCTCTACTGTACTTTTTAAATTATTTTACGCTCAGTTAATTAAAGAAAAATGCCCAAAGATGTTATTTCAGTAAAAAAAAAAAAATTAAAAATTATGTGTGAGTGAAGATACCGAATATTCATCCCGAACTTTACCAAAAAATAAAAATTTAAAACTAAAAAAAAGACTAAAAAATTTTTTTTTCTGAGTTGCATCAACTCAGAAAAAAAAATTTTTTAGTCTTTTTTGCTTAATGACAGATTGGACATGAAAAAAATCTACACTGAATTTGAAAAAAAAAAAAAACCTGTAATCTTACTTTGCTGTTCTTAACAATTTAAGTAAATGTAAAAAGACTTTTTTGAAGAATCGAAAAAAGTAAAGTTTATATACCATTCTCGAGTGTGAATTATTTTTATCTTAATTTTTTTTTTTTTTTTTTTTTTTTCAGCAACCGTTAAATTATTTTTTAGAACGTCAATAAGGAAATAATTTTAAAAATAGCCTTCTTTGACTACTCGGAAGAGTAATAATTGAATAACTCTTAAATTCTAAATAATAATAATAAAAACACACTTGGTGCAAATATTTAAGACATTGACATGGAAACCGGTTAAAAAATAAAATCAATTTAACAACTAAATTCAAGTAAAATTCCTTTTTTTTTTTTTTTTTTTTTTTTTTTATACTACTAATGTAAAAAATAAAATTATTCCTTCTACTTGACGTTTTAAAAGTATATAGAATGAAAAATATATTGGTTAAGGAAGGTTAAAGATATTTCTTGCACTGTTGGTGTTCCATATTTTTAAAATTTTCGCGCACTCTTGAAGTTGGGCTGAAAGATAGATTTTTATTTGTTGTTTACATTTTTCGTCCATAATGTCACGCTTTATTCGTCACTCAGTGACGAATAAAACGTGTCTAAGTTTTAAAAACACCAAAAACTTTATTTACGAGGGGAAATGAAAAATTATCCGCACCAATGTATGGCAAAAGTGCGGATAATTTTTGAGTTTTGCTTTGCTTGACGTCCCACTCCTACACACGGACATTTATTTTTCTCTTACGGTTTCTTTTCAGATAAAACCAAAATTTAGCTTCAAAGAACACATTTAATTTAAAATGCGTTTTTTTTTTCTTTGTGTGTGTGTACCTAGTGGCGTTACTTAGTAAAGACTTTATAAAAATTACCTACTAGTATATAAAAATTAAAAATACTTTTTTTTTTTTTTTTTTTTTTTTTTTTTAAATAAAACTTTATAAATTTAAAATAAAAATTTCCATACTCTTCATTTATGTCTCTATTTTTTTTTACGAATGAACTACTAGTCTATTTAAGAAGTCGAACAGTTTTACTTTTAGTTTTACCTTTCCACTTCCACTGGGATGCGCGAAATTTTATTTGTCATGGTCCAGTGATGTCTAAAAGATTAATTAATTGGGTTGAATGGCTTCACGTTTTCTTTTTTTTTTTTTTTTTTTTGAGTATGCGTGTGAATTTTTTTAAATATTTTGCCACTCCACCAACAAAAAACAAATTTTAAAACTTTTAAATTGGTGGTTTTTATAATACAGGCTTTAGGAAATGGATAAAAATTTTTGGAAGTTCATGATTTTTTTCAAAAGATAAGAAAAAGGGCTGGCATCATTTTTGATCGGTAACCATGAAAAGTGTCACTAACGAACCAGGACGATATGTATGTCTTCTTAATTAACTGTTGTGTTTTAAAAAAATTGTTAGTTTTTGAAATAATTAAAATTAAAAAATATAAGTTACCTCTCTCCCCAAAAACAAAAAATTACGGCGTGAACAGATGAAAGCATGAACCTGTTCGAAGCACGTTAATTTTTGAAATAATTAATATCATTTCATAAAATAAATAGTTTACATTGTAAATATCTTTTTTGTTTATTGTAAACTTTACAATAAACAAAAAAGATATTTAAAAATAAAATTGAAAATAAACATCTGTGCGTGGCTAAGAACATGTGACGGACGCGCTTTTGTTTTGTTTATTTTGTTTTTTGATTTGTACCTTCATTGAACTTTTTTTTCTTTTAGTTTTTGTTTAAATAAACAACTTGCTAGAAAAACTATTTCACGTAGGTACCGACAAAAAAAAATCACAAAGCAAGAAGAGGATACTACATGACGAAAAAAGTGCACCAAATTAAGAGTCTGACGATAAAAATGTTAAGCGTTAAAGATCAAAGAATTTTTTCTTTTTTTTTTTCTTTAAATAACCTTGGAAATTTAATATCTTTTATTTTGGCGTCAACGCAAGGCAATAACTTTGTACGGGAAATTTGAGCGTCTTTTTGCGGTGGAAAACATTCATTTGAGTTTCGTTTCTTGCAAAAATCAGAATTGTCGGATTTTAATGAAGAAAGTCTTTCAAGACTTCTTCATAAGAAGTAAATGAAATTATTCTTTAAACATTTTTTTTAGAAAATCTTTGTAAAAGTTATAATCATATGCCACGCAAATTGTGTAGCGAACCACCATTTCTTTCGTATTCATTCAATTGGTATCAACACTTGGGTATACGTAATTTTAAAAAATGAAAGAGCTTCCCTGCAGCTTTCAACTTGACTTAAAGCTAAAAGGTTAAATTTACTATATCCGGTAAGAAGCAAAATACTTTGGTGTGTTTCAGATAGATTAATTGGAATAAAGTTGCATTTTTTTTTCTCAGTAAAAAAGTCGAACACGTCAGCTTTCTTTTCTTTTTCTTTTTTTTTTATACACATTTTGTAAACAAAACTTGTTTCCGTTTTAAAAATCTTCCAAAAATATATATTTCTGAAACGTTATTTGAGGAGCAAATTTTAAAAGTTAAGTTAAAAATCTGATTTGAAACAAATATTACTGAATTACTTAGCATAAAAAAATGCTGTAGCGTACAATAAATTTCTAACCATTGGTTCTTGTTTTTCTTACTTATCAATCGATTTATTGACGGCGGATTGACTGGCGAACGTGATCATAATTATTAAGTTAAAACTATTGTATAGCAGACGTCAATTTTTATTAGGGTTTTGTTTTTTGTTGTTTTTTTTTTGTTTTGTTTTTTTTTTGTTTTGTTTTTTTTTTTTTTTTTTTTTTTCGTAATGATGGTGGGGGACAACCTTTGCAACACGTGATCTTTTATTAATAGATTTATTTATCAGTTTGTACATCCGTATTTGAGAAATTCTGCATTGACATAGATAGAAAAACAAATCAAAATTCTTTTGAAAGTAGTCAGTCTTCAGATTGTAATAAGCTTTTAGGTACCTCCACGAAATCGCTAAAAAAAAAAAATAGCATAGCATGATGAAAAAGACACCAAACTTATTATAAATAATAAGTTTTTTTTTTTTTATTCAAGTCATGGCAGAAATATTTTTTTTATATTTATTACCCCCCCCCAACTAATTTTATGAAAACGCTAGAAATTCGATCGCATCGGGTTTAGTGATTACAATAAAAGCTTTGAGGAATGCAAATCATGTTTTTTTTTTTTTTTTTGTTTAGTTTTGTTGTTTTTTGTTTAGTTTTTTTGTTTTGTTTTTTGTTTTGTGTTTTGTTTTGCTTTTTGTGTGTTTGTTTGTTTTTTGTTGTTGTTTTTTTTTTTTTTTGTTTTGTTTTTTTTTTGTTTTTAGTTTTTTTTAGTTTTTTTTGTTTTTTTTTAGTTTTTTGTTTTTTTTGTTTTTGTTTAATCCGCACTACCTGAAAATCAGCTCTGAATTGTAACATACAATACTCAATAAAACAAATTATTTAATTTCAAATGCTTTTATTTGCTTTTAGTTGTTTTTATGAATATGGACAATTTTCTGAAAGCAAAAAAGTTTTCAATGAAAAATGATTTTTTAATACAATTATTTGTTATTTCTTTAATTATAATAAATTTTTACATTTAAGTTGTTAGTTAAAATATTATAAAATTAGTTAAAAGCCACATCGGGTTTCC